CAGAACCGCTATTTTATAACCTTCACTATAAGACGGATATTTAAAATGGGACCTTTATATGAGGACTATTTTAAGTACATTGTTGTCAGGAAGTTTTATATCCTCTGTGAACACGAAATTACAAGCTTATATTGAAATATTCGTATTTGGCTCTTCAGCACTCGGACGAAACCATTATATTGGGGCTATGTCAAAAAACCAACAACCCATAATGCCAAGTTATTGCCACTTGTTTTTTAAAAAATGTGACTAAAAACTTCACAATTCCGATAATGGGACAGTACATTTGTTTGAAGGCTATACAAAGACGATCCCCAATAACAAAGGCCATAGGAGTTGGTGTTATAATGATTTAGCACCAGCTTCGTTGGCGAATGTGAGAATTATTTTAACATGTCTAAATACATTACACGCCTATTCCGACCGCAACAAAAATCTATCTCAATACTAATTTTTGTACCATTTATTACCTTTCGTACTCTTGTGGTACTTATTTCCTAAACTAATTTCAAAGTATGTACATGATTCGATTCACAAAATCACAATTTTACCAAAGTTAGTACCATTTAGTTCACATTTATATAAATTAAATAGAAATTATATTCCCCAATTTCTAGATTCCAGACTGATCGCATCACCCCAAATATAATTGTAACAAATATAGTACCCCTTTGAACACATTAGTACGAATTTCAAGATTCCAGCTCTATCGGTTCAACCAAATCCAAACTAGATACCATTTAGTACGCATTAGTACGAATTTCCTACATACCCCTATATACCCCAATCCTACACTACAACAACGATCTTTGTTCCAAATTTCAGGATTCCAGCTCAAGGTTCACCCAAAATCCAAATTGTACCAAATATAGTGCACATTAGTACGAATTTCCAAAAATTCCTACATCCTAACACCTCAAATTTCAAGATTCCAGCTCTCTCACTTCGGCTCATCAGTATCATTTAGTACACATTTATATAAAGTAGAAATTATATATCTCAATTTTAGGATTCCAGACAGGTGGCTGAAATAATTGTACCAAATTTAGTACCATTATGAACTCATTAGTAGGAATTTCAAGATTCTCTATCGGTTTACTCAAATCCAAAATTGATACCATTTAGTACATATTAGTACAAATTTCTAAAACTTCCTACATAGCCCAATTCTACACCCCAACAATGATCCTAGGATTCCAGCTCAATTGGTTCACCCAAAATCTTAACTGTATCAAATTTAGTGCACATTAGAATTTCCAAAAATTCCTACATAGCCCAATCCTACACCCCAATAATGACCGTACTCCAAATTTCAGGATTCCAGCTCTATCGGTTTACATAAAATTCAAATTGTACCAAATTTAGTACTATTTAGATAACATTAGTACGCATTTCAAAAACATCCAATCTACATTCCCCAATCCTACACCCCGAACTCAAAATTTCAGATTTCCAACTCTATAGTTCACCCATAATTCATAACACACATTAGTACTAATTTCCGAAACTTCCTACATGAACCAATCCTACACCTCCACAATGATCATAGCTTCAACTTTTAGGATTCCAGATCTATGGGTTCACCAAAAATTCAAAATGTACCAAATTTAGTACCATTCAGTACGATTTAGTACTTTTCTTACGCTTAAGTACAAAATGTCCAACACTCCGACGGTTTTTTAGGATTCCAACTCAATCCGTACCGCCAAATTAAAATTGTACTAAATATAGTACCACATAGTTATTTTCGTATACATCGGTACACACTTCTAAAACCACCTCCCCATTATCGACTCTTTTTTCAAGTGTTTAGCTCTATTCGTGCACATGCTATGAAATTGTACCAAATGCTGTACATTTTAGTACTTTTCGGATACTTACGGTCGAATTACAAAAAAAAAAAAAAAAACATTTTAGCACATTTATCCTACACTCCATCAGTGATCCTCATTCCAATTTAGTACTTCTTAGCACTTTCCGTGTCGTTCTAGTACGAGAGAGTGACCCTCACCTAAAAGTTACAATTCTAGCTTCAGCCGTTTCCTTTGGGCGTTGATGAATCGTGAAGAATGTCAATCAGTCAATCACTTCACTCTTTTATCAATATACATCCCATTTTCAAGGATGGTGAAAATATGCAGTTGCATACCATTGAAGAAAAATGTTGTAGCCTGTATGAAAAAAAGTCCGTCACTACAAGAAAAATCTGCTCTGAAAAAGAAAGTTCTGGTGTCATGCCAAATGTCCGAACCTTGACACGGTTGAATTTAATTCGTAGATGCAATTTCGCAACAATAGTCGACATAAATACAACTTATCAAGTAAAGACATTTGTAAGCCACATTGTCCAATATGCCTGATGAGCCGCTTAACCAAAGTCGAAACGCGTCGCATAGTGGTGAGAATGTAGTAACTCCGATCATGTAGCTCATCTCGAAAAAGAAATTAATAAGTAAAGTCGGACTGGGCCGACTATATGATACCCTTCACCACTTTGGGTATATTATACATATGTATCCGAAAAGACGTCGCTGTACTGTTTAAAATTTAATCTCAATCATACACCCATTGATTATTTGGTGTACAATTAACATAAATAAGTCGAAATTATATGGAAGCTAAGTTATATCTATATCTGAACCGATTTCAAGCAAACCTGCCAGAGATTAATTTATATTAACTTCAGTACGTTGTGTCAATCGGTCTAGCTATGGATCTTCAGTGCACAATTTACTTAAAACCATCACATCATTCTAGACTTAATTTAGCACGCTATGCCAAAATTCTTGCCAATCAAAAGATTTGCATTGCCTTTGGTGCACCATTTACCTATAATCAGGCGAAACTATATATGGAAGCTATATCTAAATCTGAACCGATTTTCACGAAACTTAACACACATCATTCTAGACCTAATTCCGTATGCTATACTAAATTTCGTGCAAATCGAAAGATATATAGGGATTTTGGTACACCATTTACCTAAAATCGGGCGAAACTATATATGGGAGCTATATCTAAATCTGAACCGATTTTCACGAATCATAACACACATCATTCTAGAACTAATTCCGTATGCTATACCAAATTTCGTGCAAATCGAAAGATATATAGGGATTTTGGTACAACATTTACCTAAAATCGGGCGATACTATATATAAGAACTACATCTAAATCTGAACCGATTTTCACGAAACTTAGCACACGCCATTCTAGACTTGATTCAATACGCTATGTCAAAATTCGTGCATATCAAATCATTTTCAGGGACTTTGGTGCATCATTTACCTAAAATCGGCCGAAACTATATATGGGAGCTATATCTAAATGTGCGCCGATTTTTCCCCATTTCAATAGGGTTCGTCCTTGGGCTAAATAGGTCAGCTGTGCCAAATTTCATCCAAATCGGAACATAAATGCGACCTTTACTTTGTTTACAATTTAACATCAACAGACGGACAGACGGACGGACAGACGGACGGACATGCATAAATTAATGGTCATATGTGCATTTTCCAACTGAAGTGGCTGTGATTCGGCATTCTGGGTTCTTTGATAGGAAAAATGTATTCGCAGTAAAGTCAATAATATAAATAATTTCAAAACCGCACATATTTTGATGATTCCAATTTGATTTTTTTTTTTGTTCAAATATTTTACATGTAACATTTTGTATTTGATTTTTTCTTCAAAGTTCTTGCACATCCCAAAAATTGCATAAAATTATTTCATAATTTTTCTTGGTGATTTACAAAAACATTTTTGCAAGAATGCAGGCGACACATATTATTGGAGTTTTGGAGAGTAAATTTCCTATTTAAAATTCTGCATGGGATTTAAAGAAACCAAAAGACACAACAACAACAACGAAAATTCACTTGAAAAGATATAATGCCGGATGGAAGATAAAGATAAGACAATGTCGAAATCTGACATGTTGCACATAAACCTGAAGATATGTGAATGAATGTGTTCTTGGAGCGCGGTACGTGTTATGTGCATAATTGTAATAATTATACAAACATAAATACAATATTTAACTGTATGTATATATATTTGTAATTGTATTAATTGTTGCAACCCACAAATAACAAATATAGATATAAGATATACCTAAAATTTGACTTTGACTATAGTTCGGAAATCTGCATCTACCATCTACCTTTTAACTTAGATTTTCGAACTCCATTCGGATGAAAATATATATGAAAAATTCGAACCAATTATCACCAATTTCAATAGAGTTGGTCTTTGTGTCAAACACATAACACAATAAAAACAAACTCCTTTACATACAAATCTGTTTGTTATAACCACGTCTGACTGTGGTATATTTACTTTGGTTATTTTTGGTACTAACTCAGCTCCACGATGTTGACTCATTTTTACGCCAACGCAGCAGCTTAACTATTTTTTGTTGATTGTTTTTTTTTTTAACTTGCAACATAGCTGTATTGTTCTTCGTCTACACGTTAGTCATAACCACAAAAGCTATTTCACAGACAAAAATATATTAAGAATTCGAATATATCCTCTAAAGAATCGAAGTAGATTATGATCACTCATATTTTATAAAAAGGATATGCAGTGGTATTCAGATAATTCGTACTCAAATAAATTGAAATATCGTTAATAAAAAGTGGATTCTCCGGATTAATTTTCTTTATAAAATGGACAATGCAAATATAAACCTTAACATTTCGCAAAATAATCTTTAGATATGGGACTATTACGGTTTCACTGTATCCAAATAACAAAGGAATTATAGATGTATGATAAACATCTCAAATGTGAACATTGAATAAATATTTAAAAAAAACTGTTGTTAATAATTAATTAATAACTGCTAACCGCAGTTATATTTTTATGCGAAATATTTCTTTTATTTCACATTGATGACAAAGAGTGCAATTAAAAATATATCGAAAGTTAATATTCGTAGACATTGAAATCAATATCGAATGAAATGTCCTATTCATTAAAAGATTAAAATAACTTACCGCTTGTTGTTCTAATCGTGGAGGAGTTTTTGAAGCCGTTGTTGGAGTATTTGGTTGCTCCCAATCGTCTTTGCTGTAGAAATAACAAAAAGAAAATTGTTTAATACTTTGTTTCAAATTACACTGTGCAAAAAATTTCATTTGTTTATACCCTTTACCTCAGTGTGGTACAGGGTATTATGTCTTTGTGCATATGTTTGTAACAGTCAAAAGGAAACGAGATAGACCCATGGTTCCTTTTGTGAATAAGCACAGAATCACTTTCTGAGTCGATTTATGCATGTCCGTCTGTCCATGTTAAATTGTAAGCAAAGTGCAGGTCGCATTTATTATCCGAAATTTGGCACAAGTCACTTATTTGTCCCAATGGCGAAACCTTTTGAAATTTGCTCCCATATATAGTTTCGTACGATTTTATGTAAATTGAGCACCAAGGAGTCAAATTTAGGCCGATTGGCACAAAATTTTGCACAGAGTTCTGAATTAGGTCTAGATTGATATATGCCAAGTGAAATCGGTTCAGATTTAGATATGCAAATGGTGCAAATGGAGGAGCCCATGTCTATTCGCTTTACATGAAATATTGCATGGCGTATTGGATTGAAGGCGTTTCAGGTTTAGATATAGCTTCGATATAAATTTGCATCTGATTCCATCAAAATGTAAATGAAACTAAAGTTTATCCGCTTAGGACGGAGTAGATTTTCATAAATTTCAGAATGGTATATGTATGGGTTATTTTAATTTAGTTCAAACATCTACATTTGGCATTCGCGTTATGATATGAAGCTCTTACCGTACATCACTAGCTTCGATACATAGGTATCGAATATCAAAATAAATAACTGTCGCAAAATTTGAAATCTCTAGCTAATAAACATTGGGGCACATTCGGCCACGTACAGATAGTGCTATATTATTTTCTTACAATGGTTTTGAGTTTGTCTTTAAAAATATTCCTTTAATATAGTTCGAAAGTACATAACAAGTACCAAACGTGTTTGTATTGACGAAAATGTTATAGAAAATCCCTATTTCTGATGGTGTGTGTAGCATATTAAAAAAGAATAGAACCTTTAGAGGATCTGAATTTCAACCAGACTGATAGCGGTGATAATTACCAGGTTATGACTATGGTGCCGAATGTGCCCCATCAAATGCCGATGGTACCCCAAGTAGGGGCACATTCGGCGAATATGACTTTTTTACAAAACTGTAAAAATGTTTAACTGATACTAATTTTTTTTGTTATATGTTTTTGGTACGCGTTTTTATAATTAAGTATCAGGGGACTATAATTAGCCATTTTTTTTATATCTGTTGTATAAGTACTGAGATATAGAACTCTAAACAAAAAGTGCCGAATGTGCCCCAGTTTCCCCTACTTCACGCAGTTAACTTCGTCCGATTCCATTTCAATGGTCATCCAAAGATGCTATGTCTATTCTATCGAAAGGATTTTGTACATATGGGCATCTCTTGTATGTACCCAAAGTGGTGAAGTGCATCATATATTCGGGCCGGTACGACTTTTGAACTTTCCTTACTGGTTTTATATTGAGTTTGGACATATTCGTAAATAACAACTCTTCCAGAAGTTAAAGTCCTTATTTTGGTACTTTTTTACCCAATTACTTGATCCAAACCTTGCACATCGTAATATTTCTTTCAAACTCAAATGAAGTTCGAAGATAGGAAAATCGATTAAATCCTTTAGGTGCCTCCCCCACAAAATGGTCACCTCAATTGAGCTGAAAATACTCAGTTCGCATGATATATTTTATAATATCATGCATCCGATTCAAACAAAACTTTGCATAACCCATTATTTTAATCATGTCTGTTGGGAGATGGGACTTGTCGGTCCACTCCTTCTAGTACATACTTCCTCCACAAAGGGTCAACATTTTGAAAATTTGTAAATCGGAATATTCAATTTCATCCAGATTGTATTCAAAGATGGGACCCATCGGTTCTTCCTTGTGGTACCTCTCCCACAAAGGGTTTACATTTTGAAAAATTTGTAATCCAATAACAATGGAATGTCCGATTTGATGTCAAATGTGCACATCGAAATATTTCTTTCAAACTTAATTCAAGATGGAATATGGAACCCGTCGGTTCACTATTTCTGTTTGAATTTGCTGAAAATTGGTTTTATAATATCATGCGAAGGGACTATCCGATTTGAACTACACTTTACACAACCTTTTTTTTTAGCCATACCTGTAGAATGTTGGAAGTTGCCACTTATTGGTCCACTCCAAAAGGACCCAAAAAGGGTCAACATTTTTAAATATTTGTAATACTCATATGGAGCAATTGGAATATCCAAATTCAACCAAACTTGGTACTTGGTAATATACCTTACGTACATCAAGTATAAAATCTGGTACCTTCCCCGCAAAGTGTCAACATTTTGAAAAATGTTTAATCCAATATTAAGATAATGGAATGTCTGATTAGACCCTTTTTTATATCTGGATACAATTTTTTTTGTAGAAACATTGCTCTTCATTAGTTTTGCAATATCCAGTAAATAGTTCACAAAAATGTGCAGATCTATTAAATTTTTAGTTGTTCATCTAAATGTTCACTCGATTTTCTACACATATCGTGTTCAACAATAAACAGTGGAAACACAGAAATAAAATGTTGTTCACATATCCTGATAATTACAAACGAATACGTCTTTAGCAATCTAGTGCAAACAACGCCATCTAACTTTTAATTCGGAATCATGATGCCACATTTTTTGTGCCGTTTTTGTTTTCAATATACAAAATAAATTTCGTATATTTTTTTTAATTTTACCTTACACACCTTGAAATAGAAATGATTCGTAATTTTATCATGGGTGCACGAATACAGGTGTTGAGGGTATACCTCTGTTCGGGAACGCCGACACTATTTTCCTTACGTTTTTTGCTTCAGACTTAGGCTCTCAGATATATTGTCGACCGATTTTACGCAAATTAGACTTATCTGATTTAAATTGATAAACATATGTAAATAGCTCTAAGTTACGAAACGGATCTTTTGATCACTTGGTGTATATACCAAAAGTGGGTATTAAGTAGTCGACCCCGTGTGATTGTGGTCTTCCCTTACTCCTATATTAAATAAAATTTGAATTTTATCATTCAATACTGTTTCGTTGATTATAGAAATTCAATACTAATTTACAAAAAAACTTATTTCTATAAGGTCGATCATGTCCAAAGACATAAAAGTATAAAGATAGTATAATTGATACGTCGACAAATTCCAATAGATGGATTTTCCTCTGTTGTTACGATATCATAACAACAGAGCGAACTATATTAACACTAGATTGCCGAAGGCAGTCATTTAGACCGTTTTTAAATTTCAAGTACAAAAACAATTGTGTATATTATGACCCAGCTTTTTAAAATTTGGTGACTTTTGTACCACATATTAATCATAGTAGCTGCTTCCTCCCCTCTTTCATTCCCCGTATTCACATGTGCTATACCTATATTGCCTAAAAGCGGTCATTTTGACCTTTTGTGAAATATTATATATCAAACTACTTTTATTATTGTATAAAGTAAATTTCTTATATGACCAGATCAGTACAACAACATCGAAACCCGTTTGCTACTCTAAAAACACAAACGAACATACAAATCGGGAAAAATAAATTTTATATTTCCAGTCGATTTCATTTTCAGAGTAAAGACTTCCTCTTTTTCGAACATTTTGTTTGTGCTCTTATTTTTCAAAAGGGGAAACTCGAGAGCCCTACCACCGAAAACAAATAATAACAACGTTTTGTATGATTGTAAATAATGTAAACAATATTAAAAAATTTGTTTAAAAACATTTCTTTACACAATAAAAATTCTTTCAGAATGAGGTCATTTTGACCGATTTTAGGCAATATAGGTATATACAAAATTCCCGTCTTTCTAGTGTTAAACAATCTAAGCGCTATATAGCAAGCTTATTAAAATGCATTTGTCGAGTCTTTACGGTTTCTATGTCTTTGACATGTCTTTCTATTATAATTCTCCATACCAATTCTATTTATCTGCTGTAAGCATGTGTCTGTGTACAATAATGACATGCTTACCTCTCCATTCGTTGAATGTGCGACACTTGTGCTCTGCTATCGTGAATGCGAACTTGGTCGGGTTTTATCTCCTCCAGAAACATGTTGCGTTGTGTTGGCATTGTCTGATAGCCGCCATCGTTATCGAAAAATATCGGACTCAATGCACGACACGCACCACTCAAAAGCTCATCAATGTTTTGGTGGCGTGAAATGAAAGCTTTTTCGTTCTTTGAACGTAAATCATTTTGGTTGCGGTGTTGGCTAGGTGGTGTTTGTCTTTGATACACCGAGGGTTGTGGTTGTTCATGGTATGATGGTGTTTGAGGCATAGCTGGTTGGTCTTGTTGATAGGCAGCGGCGTTGACATTAATTTTATTATTTTCAGGTATGAAGGCCGTTTGATTGTTGCCAACGGGCAGTGGTGGTGGTGGTGATGCACCTGAAATTGGCATTAGATTCATTGCATCCACTGCCGTGTTGTTGTTTGCCGGTGTTTGTTGAACTTTTGTCATTGTTGTTGGAATGTTGTCGTAGGGGGATGAGCAATACCTGGTTGGTTCATTGTTTCGTTCGGCCGGCTCTTCTTCGTGATGCACGGGGCTGGCACATTGACCCAAAGGTGGTGGTCGTTCAGAATATTCGAAATTAAATGAATTACTCAGTTCGGTTTGTGAGTCAACACGATTTTGGGGCAAGAATGTGGATTGGTGGTCATCATCATCGGTAGTTAATTGATAGGAGTGTGGGTAATTGGGATGTTCATCCAATCCAGCTGAGCTGTGTTGGTAAATATCTTCGTTAGACTGATGATGCTGTTGTTGTTGATATTGTCTCTGGCGTTCTTGAAGCCAGCGTTCTTTTTGTTCCTCCAAAGATTGTTGTTGGGTTAGAACTCGTTTAGGGGGCGTTTCGGCGTAATGAACAACCGCTGGTGGACACACTTCGGCATCTTCTTCCAACACTTCACCTGCTGCTCCCACCTCTGGATGTGAGAATATTTGCTTTACCGGACTTTGGCTGGTTCTTCTACAGGTTGACCATATTGGTGATTGTTCTTTCGTTGGTGTACCCGGTTGCCTTGAATCAGGCCTATTACGATTTCTAAATTCCTGTTCAGGTTCTCGTGATCTGCTACGTGTTTTCCCTCTCTCGTGGGTATCTTGTTGCCACCAAGGTTCTTCTTCTTGATCCGAGTCCAATCTGGATATGTTGAATAATTTTTTATTGGGACTTCGTTGACGTTCCATGTCCTGCTTAGTGGGACTTCTATTTTCCCGCAAACCTTCGGAATCTTTAGAATTACTGCGGGTTTTGGATTTTTCCGGACTGTCTTCTAACCACCAGGCTTTTTCGCCAGATTCCACACGGGGTATATTAAAAAGTTTCTTGTGATGGGGATTTTGGGGAGGTGATGCTGAGGGTGTATGACTGGTGATGTTATCTGATTTTTGAGAATTGTGTTGCTCTTGATTTTGAGAGTTGCTATGCTCTTCTCTGTCCTCAGAATTCTCATCCAACCACCATGCCTTTTCTCCCGACTCCACCCGTGGTAGATTGAACAGCTTTTTAATGGTGGAATTTTGTGGTGCCATCGAATCGACCACGTCCACTTGTTCCTTACTTTGGGAATTTTTACTTTGTTGACTTTCTTTGTCGGAATTTTCATTTTGCCACCAGGCCTTCTCTCCGGATTCAACACGAGGAATGTTAAATAGTTTCTTCGATGGTCCTGTCATCCACCATTTTTTGGGTTCGGTACTCATACTGCTACTGCTGCTGGTAGAGGTTTCTGGTTCGACGGATGGTTTCTGTTCCTCCTGAGGCGCTTGATTATTTTCATCATCTTGTTGCCACCACGGAGCCTCAGCGGATTCAACCCGACATATTTTCAGTTGAATGGTACCATTTTGTATAGGTGCTTGTGGTGGTGAGGGGGGTGATGGTTCCACATTGGGCAACTCCTCCGCCTTGGCATTTGTATCATCATCTTCGTCGTTCCACCAGTCGGTTTCCGGTGTAAGACGACTGCGTGGAAAAGGTCGACTTTCACTATCGGTTATTTCCTGCTGGTCATTGTAATAGGTTTTCGTTTTGTAATCTAAATCGCTAAATGAAATATTTGCGTCGTTTTGATATTCGTTTGCGTTATTGTCGTCTGTCGTTTCCCACCAGCCAGCCGCTTGGGCCTTAGTACCCTGTTCATTGTATATATCCACGGTTGCCTCATCATTCTCGCCGTTGTCTTCCTCATCCTGATTGAGTGTGGCCAAATCATCGGCCAAGGTTGCCTCATCGTCGTTACGGAACCACCAGGCTGTCTCGCCGGAGTCAACATGTCTCACCTTGAAACGCATTTCATCTTTGAAACTACAGTCTAAGGCCGAAGAAGTGTCGATTTGCTGACTTGTGTCTTGCCACCAACTGGGCTCTTCCGAATCCGTACCTCCCGTGGAGGTTGTACCGGGGGTGGTGGTGTGCGCGTATAATTCCGATTGCAATTCGTTAGGCATTTTTGTTGCTGACTTAGGTTTTTTGGAAACACCACTACTGGACGAAGTTATCGACGTAGAAGAAGCGGAAGATTTAGATTTTGTTTTCGATTTCGAAGTCACGGAAGACTTTGTCGCGGACGATTTTGATTTTGAATTTGAATTGTGCGTAGAACGTTGTTCACTTGCCGAATTTTCTCTAGTATATTGAACTGCGGGACTGCTACGATTACTGGCACTTCTGCTCGTGTTATTGTCGTTCGCTGATGTCGCTGGTGTTGTTGATTTCGATGTTTTCGTTTCGTTCGCTCGTAATAAACTAATGCTCTTTTTTGAGGATTTTGTTGAACCCACATCTAAATCGGTAGAGGTTGCTGTGCCGCCTCCACTGCCCCCACCACCTGAGGTTTCGGTACTCTCAAGATATATTTGATCGTCGCTATTTTCAGCGTTTTTCTGTTGGGCAACGAAAAAATTCGAAACAGAAGACAATTTTTTCAAACGTCGTAGTGGATCTTTGTCTGTGCGCGATGAGGTTGAGGCGGATTTCTTTAGCGGTGATGATTCAGTTTTCTTAGCTGCGGCAGCTGTAGTTTGCGTGCCAGCCATTGCCTTGGGTTGTGGCAGTGAACGTTTGCTAAGTGATGACGTTGCGGCTGAACTTTGATTGTCGGAATTGTTGGCGCTGCTGCTGCTAAGGCTTGTTGTGGTGGCGGTGGTACTACTACTGCCGGGCGGAGCTTCCTTGACAACTTTCTTTTTGACCATTTTCTTGTGCGGTTTCTTAACTTCTGCTGCAGAACTTTCTGTACCACTGGATGATGATGTGGCAGCGGTAACAAGAATTTTATTCGAACGCATTGCCAACGGAGATGCGGGCAGGGGAGATTTTGCCGGTTTAATACTGGAATTACTGTTCTGGCGACTCAGCGGAGAGGGTGGTGTACGGCTGCCCAGTGGTTTGTTGAGAGCTCGTGGACGTAATTTATTTTCACTGGCAATGGTGCGTAGCCTTGCTGAACGATTTGAGGCAATACTAATTTCGGAACATGCACTGGGCGATCTCTCCAAACGTTGTATAGCTTGCAAGGCACCATTGAGAGCATCAATGGTATTGAAATCGGAATCAGTACCCGTACTGGGTGTACGTGATTTCCGGGTGCGGTCTGTTGGTCCAACATTTAATGAAGACTTGCGGAAATCTTTGTTAGGCAATCTCGAGGGAGCTGGGCTTAACGAGCTGGGAGAGGGTGATTTGTATGGCGATTCTGCCTTGGGTCCGAGGGGTGGTTTCTTGGGACTAAGACTTTCCACCGACGATTGTCGTGACTTGAGTCTTCCCACTCGTGGTGGAGAAAGTTTGGATTTTGTCGTGGCTGTTGTTGTTGTTGCTATGGTTTTTGTTGGTGTGGTTTTTGTTGTTCTACAAGGACTACTGCTTGAGGTTGTGGAATCCTCCCGCCGACTGTCATTTGCCGAAAGAGAATTCGATTTTGAGGTGCTGGAAATTGGACTACTGCTATAACGCAAATTGGATGGTGAACGCCGTTCCGCCGCTGAATTATAGGGTGAAAGTCGACTGCCATAGGCCAAACGACTCACTTTTGTACACTCCTCAGATTGCATTTCTTTTTCGAGCATTTTTCTTTTTGACGATGAACGTAGAATGGTTTTCTCGATGGTAATGGCTAGGCTGTGGGTTGAGCGATCTGATACTTGACTACCGGGTGGATTGGGTGATGTGCCGCGCGTACAAACGGTAATGCTTAGGAATTGTTCTTTTGGTGGTTGGGGAAGAATTTCTTCATCTTCTGAGGTATCGGATTCTTCAGTGGTGTCAGAATCCTCCTGATCATCTTCCTCCTCTTCATTTTTCTCTTTCTCTTTGGTTTCCTTTGATTCGCTCTCAATTGGCGGTGCATTGTTAGTTGATTCTTTTGGGGATTCCGATGTTTCTGAAACTGGAATTTGTTGTGGAACCGGTGTGTGATAATCTCTAGGATAATAAGATATGGGGGATTGATTGGAGGCATTCCGAGGTCTACCTTCCGAGGCCAAGGGTTTCTCTTCTAGGGCGGGTTTAATTGAGGAAGAAGGTGGCGTTCTGCTACTAAGGCCATAACTGCTACTGGTTGAAGCAGCAGCAGCAGGTTGCCTTGTACCATATGAAATAGGTTTGTCTGCCAAAGATGTGCAGGAAGGTGTTCTTCTGGTGCTAACGGTGCCATATGATAATGATTTTTCCGCCAACGAGGTTGTGGAAGGAGTTCTGCTTGTATAACTTTTGTTTTTATCTGCCAACGAAGTTGAGGAGGCAGTCCTTGCTGTAGGTGTCTTCTCAGCCAACGATGTGGACGATGGGGTACGTGTGGCTCCATAACGACTACTATATGCCGACGAAGTTGGTGTCGTGGCCGTCGTACCCGCCTTTGGCATATTCATGCGGTACGAACTACCATATTTATATTTACTATCCATGCCTGGACTTGGATCACGTGATTGTCCTCTTAACGATCGTATACCGGGACTGGGATCTCTGGAGCGCATACGATTGGTGTGTTCTAAGGCTGCTGGACTGGGTTCTCGTGAATATTTGCCTATACTACTGGATGTTGAGCCATAACGTTTCAGTTGGCTCACCGATTTCATATCGGACGTAGAGCTGTCGGCCCTTGCCAATGTTGTGGAAGATGTGACCGAACTTGTGGAGGGTGTATAACGACTAACATAGGTGCTGGCAGATGATGATGTAATGGATGGTGTATCACGCTTTAGGCGATATGTTCCTCCCGAAAAAGAAGGTCGATAAGAACTGGGGGATGTAAGGGCTGAGGAGGAGTAGCGTGCTGTGGAGCTGCTGAGGTCATCACGTGACGAATACTGTAAGAGAGAAAGACTGGGCTATTAGAAGTACACAGAAATATCACATTTACAGCTCACCGAAGAGGATGTTGTTGAGGATTTGTAGGTAGAGGGTAGGGACGATTTAAATGGTGTCTGAAATGGAAAAGAAAAAAATAAAATTAATATCAAGCAAAAAAATGGAATTTAAATAAAAATTTAACAAATACCAAATGTTTTACTTCCTTTCGGATATTTTATGGACTTCAGCTGATGTTGGATTTCTAAATTTCAAGAATCCCAAACAATAAAACAAAACAACTTTTTAATGGGCTGCACTTGTTTTTGATTGGCTGCCCAACATTGATTTCGTGTCAAAAATAGTTTCGACGCATTTTCGACTTTCGCAATCAACTGTCAGCTACTCAGCCAGCCAGCGAGTCGTTGGCACTCTAACTTTTATCGATGGGGAAAAGTGCGCCAATGTGCATGAATGCACAAGGTCCGCATGCAATGTGTCTCTATGTCGGATTGTCTACTTTTTTTTTGTTCTGAAAAATCAATCACATTGCATTTTATTGTTTTGCCGCATATCGTTCGGATCACTGTCGTGACCATAGACACCACATTCCCCCTTTTTGATATCTATAGCCACTTAACGTACAAATACACACCCATAAGACAGACATGCCAACATATTTAAAAAGAAGTCGAACACTTTTTCATCAATTTTTGTCTGGCACATTTTGTGTCTGTGAATGTGTGCATTGCTGGGTGGGGGTCGGAAATGGGCAACCAATGCAAAGTAATATATATTAGTAGAGTTTGATTGATTTCGTACTTCTGAAAGAGCGGGGGTCTTCTATTCCAGAGCGCAGCCAAAGCCGACGATCAACGATTTTCGTCAGCAAAGGACGCTGTTTTTGAATTCAAAAACCATGTAGTTGTCTCAATTGGAGTGTATCTTTAAAAGAATATTTTTTTAAGAATTCTATAATCGAAGATTTTTAAAAGAATATTTTTTTCAAGGACTACTATAGGCGCTGATTTTTTAAAAGAAATTTTTTTCAAAGACTACTATAGACGTGGATTTTTAAAATAATATTTCTTTTTCAAGGACTACAATGGGCGTCGATTTTTAAAAGAATATTTTTTCAAGGACTAAAATAGGCGTGGATTTTTAAAAGAATATTTTTAAAGGACTAATGTAGGAATTGATTTTTATACCCTCCACCATAGAATGTAGGGTATATTAATTTTGACTTTCCGTTTGTAACTCATCGAAATAATCAATTCCGACCCTATTAAGTATATATATTCTTGGTCATGGCTATGACGATATAGCCATGTCCGTCTGTCCGTTCGTCTGTTGTAATCACTCTAGCGTCTAAACGAATTGAAATAGATCACCAAAATTTTGCATAGAGTCGCCTTTTGTCTGCAGGCAGGTCAAGTTCGAAGATGGGCTTTATTGGTCCACGTTTAGCCATAGCTCCCATATAAGGGTACCCCCAAATTTCGGTATTTTGAGGTTATTTGGCGCGTTTTTCAACCTAATTCGCTGAAATTTGATACATTGGGTTCTTATTGAGTACTAAATGTCTCCATAAAAAATTAAAAATATAGGTCCACTTTTTCTGGTAGCCCCCATATAACGGTACCTCGTAATTTTCAGTACTTTGGGGGGTTTGATCGTATTTTTCCGCCGAATTTGCTGTAATTTAGTATTTTGAGTTCTTAATAAGTACCAAATCTCTCCACAAAAAAAAAATATGAATATAGGTCCATTTTTCGGATAGCCCCCATATAACGGTACCCCCAATTTTCGATATTTTGGAGTTCTTGAGCGAGTTTTTCAACCGAATTTGCTGCAATTTGGCAATTTGGTTTGCTGCAATTTGGTAATATTCGCCTCTTTTTGGGGTAGTCCCCATATAACCCGCCTTTTTATATTAAAATAGTTATCTGTTGCAATCTGTTGTAATCATTTCACCTCCGAATTAAAAAAAATAGAACGTAAGGTTCGATAATGAACTATAGCCGCATTTAGACCTAGCCCTTGTGTGGAGGTTCCAGAAGGAATGGACCGAAATCCCACATCTTTGAATTTGAACTAAGTTTGGACACATTTTCACCGTGTTAAAGTGTATACACCCTCATTAGCCATAAGGCTGATAATTATCCATTAAAAATTTCTGAAATTTGTATTATATATATATATATGGGCAATATTGCCAATTTTTTAACATAGCTGAAGCGGAGGTTCACACCTTTATAACTCGGGAACTACTTAAGTATATGAAAAAAAGTGAATAGTTTTGGGTTAATTGATCTGTCGTTGCAAACTGCTCATGATATTGACCTCCAAACTTTATTTTAGTGGAAGCTGTGTCTACTTTAATGTAAAAAAATGTGTAAAAACAGGTTGAGGCGAACCAGTTTTTTTATGTTCTCTATCGATTTGTGACTAAGCCACTCATTGCACGGCCTTCGTGTCAAAATAAAACTAGAAGCCAACAAAATGGGGACTACGCCCCTTATGTATCATTTTTCAAAATTTTAACCGCATCTACCTTTAAATGATGCTGACATTTTGAAGCTCGATTTTGAGTGTTTTTTGAATTTTAGTTCTAGCATTAATACGCGAACAGGAATTTCTAAAAATCGATTATAAGATTATTGTAGTCGCGAATCTGCGTAATTTGATATGTATTTTGTGTATGTAGCATGCACAGCTTCAGAGTAATACTCATACGAAGGTGCAAATTTTGTGCGATCAAATTTCTAAAAAACCTATTTTTCGGGCCAAATTTTTAGATCTGTCAACTGAATGATATGGGTACCCGCGATCAATAAGGTTTTTTCCGTTTCGGATGATATAAAATCTTCCTCGTGAAAATCCATCTACTAGAACGGCGGGAACTGGCCTTCCAAAAACACGAAATTTGGCAAAAAATGTTTTTGAAAATATCGCGGATTTATTTGCGTTTTCTGTGTATCATTTCCGCTTCAATAAATGACCTCATACGGATATTGATCTTTTTCGAAAAGAGAACTTTAAAAACTTCAGCCGAAAGAGAGATGTACGCAATTTATCTCAAAAATAGATTGTGATGGCACATCCATGGTTCTTAATGGACCACATTGAAATCGGTATAGATCGATGTATTTTTATAGGGTGCACACCGAAATCGGATGCGCGTTAATGACATATGGAGTTTTCGGAAATTATTCGCGTTTTACGGTTTTTTGGGTACTTCAATGTAACGTGCGGCACCTCTTAGCCGTCAAATGAAATTTCGCAAAATATATATGGATTGGAAGATAAACTTCAGTACTTCCTGGAAACCGCATGCGCATCAAATGATTTTGAGAATTACGCGATGTAGACGCAATTTATCTCAAAAATAGTGTGAGCTGGCACATCCATGGTTCTTAATGGACCACATTGAAATCGGTATAGATCGATGAATTTTTTTTGGGTGCACACTGAAATCGGATGCGCGTTAATGACATATGGAGTTTTCGGAAATTATTCGCGTTTTACGGTTTTTTGGGTACTTCAATGTAACGTGCGGCACATCTTAGCCGTCAAATGAAATTTCGCAAAATATATATAGATTGGAAGATAAACTTCAGTACTTCCTGGAAACCGCATGCGCATCAAATGATTTTGAGAATTACGCGACTTAGACGCAATTTAAAATGTATATTTCATAATATTATTTTATTTTAAGATTTATTCCTATTTATAGAATTCTAAGATTTATCGGAAGGGTCTTGATATAATCCGCAAGGCTTATACACAAAAGGTGATTATAATTATATATGTCATTTTTTCGGCGAAATTCGGGTAAAATAGCAGAATAACCCCAACATTTTTTTCTGAAATTTCTTGTATACAATTAAAAAAATAAATATGATGACATTATTTTTTCGAACCAAAAACAAATATTTTTCCTCAATATCTTGTTTTGTTGTCGCTTTGATTTAGAAACCGCTACACGGACTTGTGTGATTTTGAAATCATTTGATTCACCATCGTGTTTAGATTATGTAGATATTTTTAAATTAATTTTTAGGTGTGTGTATGTCATTAATATAATGAAAATATTGATGTAATCTGCTATATTTGTTTATTTTTCTCATATTTCGCGAATATGTGCAACTTTATCGTTATTATTATAATATATTCATATTCTTATTTTACGGAGGAAGATATATATAAACGTTTTTGGTCAATATAATAAACGGCGTAATTTTAAGATTTTTTTCTTATGCCCAAAATTAAAACCTCGATAACTTTTGCGCGCATCAACCAAAAATTTGATCGCGAAAGGTTTCAGAGTCAGAACATTTTTCTCTATATGTGTACCAAAAATCATAGATGTGCCACAAAAACAAAAAAGCTGATTTTTTGAAAATGGAATATTAAAAAATTGGCAATATTGCCCATATATATGTTCCCTATATTTTCATTTCTAGTACCTGTCTGTATATCTATGGTGGAGGGTATCCAAAGTTCGGCCCGGCCGAACTTCACGCTTTTTCACATGTTAAAATATTAGCTTTTTAAAGAGCAGCTTATTTATGTTATGCTATGGATGTTTAAAATAATATTTTTTCAAGGACTACTATAGGCGTGGGTTTTTTAAATATTAGTTTTTAAGGATTTTATTGGCGTGGATTTTTCAAAAATGTTTTTACAAAAAAAAGTACCATGGTCTTTTGATCTATAGATTATGGATATCGAGGTCTTCTGATCTATAGGTTATAGATATCGAGGTTTTCTGATCTATAAATTATCGATATCGACGTCTTCTGATCTATAGTTTATCGATATCGATGTCTCTTGATCAATAGATTATCGATATTTTCTACTATAGAGAAGAGCAACACCAAAGAGTCAGTCTTTAGAAGAACATGTTATCTTGGTACCGAGGACTTCTATTTAGTAAAAATTCAAACCTAAGCCTTTAATAGATTAGATGACTAGTACTGAGGTCATCAATTTTATTAAATAGAAGATTAATATTGAGATTTTC